GCCGATCACCCATTTCTACTCGGAGTGGAGTATCATGATTACTTAATACCATAAATCCAGCATAATCTTTTAGAACTTTGGGTTCGAGTCCTTTGCGCTCGATTGTTAAGTAATCTTCTGTAATAAGTGATTTGAGATGATCATTATATTTGTGCCAGTCCCCACTACTCATTCCTGTTTCATTCATAACGATTAATTTGCGAGCCTGAATACAACTATTGAACCTTTCCAATATTTTTCCAAGATCAGAAGTTGCATAGAAAAGTTCAGAACCCAGAATTTGTTTACCTATGAAATCAATTAAGATATTTTTTCCACAGCCCGGCAAGGAACGCAATACTGGAATGGTTCCAGGCTTCTTAGATGGTTGTTGTACTAGATATCCTACCTAATGCCAGAAATATTTACTAAGTTCTTCATCACCACCAGAGATTATATTTTTTACATGCCATAAAATTGGATCCATAATGGCGGGATTAATCTCTTGCTGGCTGAACTTTGAATCCTAGAAAAAGATTAAAGAACTTGATATTTGGTGGTGAGGTATTTGGTGAACATGGCAGGAAATCGATATTACGATAAAGAATCAGACCTTCAACAACTGCTTGATTTATCAATATTTTTAATTCTATTGGTTCCCCTTGATATTCAGTTATTTTTATTTCGTACTTAGCAATATCTAGTTTAGGTGCCATATCGAAGAAAAGTCCATTATCCGAGTCTTCCATTTTAAGTAGCCATAACCTCGAAGATGTTTGAATACATGCCACTGTTGCTTGAATTGCCTCATATACTTCATTACGAGTAAAAATATTCTTAGAAGTACACATATCAATTAAGTCTCCCCATGTAAAGTGATCGTTTGGATCCGAAATTCTAGACCGTTCTAATTTTTCTGGAAGAGGACTTTTTTTTTCTTTATTTTCAATTGTTTCGTTGATAACAAGTTTTAATGATGGTTTCCTTGTACCTGCTGGCGTATCTTGATCTGCTCGATGGCAGTAATATCGATAAATTTTCTTATTTCGGATTACATATGCGTTATCACTAGTGTGCTCCCGATTACAGAGTGGGCATTGAGATTCTGCTATGCGATTTAGGGGGGAATACATTTGGAAGTATCGGTAAAGAATATAAAACTTCAAAACCTTCGATTTTATACTCCTCAAGTAATTTTTCTATATATTCTACTTCAGATCCGATTGTCCCAGCATCGATTTTAATTTTTTCCGGCATTTTCCTATCTTCGATTAATGTTTTTTCCTTCAGAATATCCAAGATAGGACTATCTATAACTGGCGCCTCGTCATTAGGTGAGCGAAGCATAAAATCAAAGACAGAATTATTCTTTGGGAAAATTGCTTTCTTCACTCGGACATGTTCATTAGTATCTTTAATAAATTTTGGAGTTCCGAGTATTCGCAAAGAGAATGAACATATTATCGACAATATCTTTTTCTTGTAAATCTATTGGAAGCTTTTTGCGAACGAGCTCAGTAAATACTGCAACTTTAGCAATATTTTTGAGTCAGAGACCAAGAGTTGATATATGGAGAGACATTTTTTTTCTCGTCACTACTACTGGCAATAGTCAATGTTTTGCGATCCCAATCTGGATATATTTCTAGACACACTTCTTTAAAGGCACGACAAAGTAAATCTCGTATTTCTTTAGCTGTGAGCTTAAGCTTGGGTTTAATTTTATCAAACTTTTCTCTAGATAAATCAAAATCTATAAACGGACGAAGTGGGTCATTGCCATCAATAATTTCGTGTAATGAATGTCCTTGCCGTTCACTAAGTATAGCTTCTATTCCATCTTCGGTATCTGTACCGAGAAATTGTCTTGGCTTTACACTATCATCACGAATTTTATACATATATTCAGCCACGCTTTCAGCTTTAAACCCCCGGTGGTAGAAGGCCCCGTTATTTTCATACTCCGTCTCTGGCTCGAAATTTTCTGAGTTTTCCAGACAAGAAGGTGGTGCTTCTGATTCTGCTGGCGCGTGATCGATATTCTTTATTGTGGAACAGCTCTGGAAATTTTGGGTATCCATGGTAGGTGTAATAACATCGGACATCTTTTTGTAAATTTATATTATCTGTACGAAAAAAATTCAAAATGAAAATTAATTCCTTACAATAATTAGTGTGAAACCCTAGTTATACTACGAGACAAAAAATCATACCAAAAAGATAACGCTTGGAATATATGGCATTTTATCGTTGTGAATATATCCTCAGAACTGGAGAAGTTTGTGGGCGAGGTAGTTATAGGCCCGAAGGCTGTGGTTACCATTGGAAGTCCCCCCAACGTATACCTTGTAAAGAGTGTGGTAAAATTACTTCCTCTACATATTGATATGGTATGTGCGAGAAACATGCAGGTAAATACCGGAATATGAAACATTATTACCGAAAAAAAGAGAAAAAAAAGCTGGAGAAGATGGTGCAAGATGGATTTGAGGTAAAAGAAAATTAGTGCTTCGCGTTCATATACTAGATATACATATATTATCTTAGTATGTATAGCTGTCACTAAAAATTTTTTGGTGACGGCGAGAAAAAAAATTGGGGACAAAATTCTTATTAAATTTTACGATTTTGAGTTTATAGAAAGCTTTCTAGATATCTGTACCAAAGTCACTAAAGTCACCAAAAAAAATCGAACTTCTCCAGCTTTTTTTTTTTCTCTTTTTTTATTATGGGTATATCACATATGTATCATACGTATATACTATAAGTATAGAGTTCATGAGTATATATGTATCAACAATATGTATATGTATTGGATACACCATAAGGTAAAGTTTTATTTTTTTCCTAGAATTTTACTTTATTTTTTAGTGACTTCGGTGACAGTATAGAAGAACAAGATAAAAAAGAATTTGAAACCGAAATTTAATAATAAACCCGTCACCAAAGTTGTCACCGAAGCTGTCACCAAAGATTTTTCGGTGACAGATAGCATACCCGCTAACATGTATATAGCATACTCAATAGCAATTACGCGACATATATTTGATAGCATGGGTATACTATACCCGATAGCAGAAATATAACATACTCGATAGTAATTACACGACACATATTTGATAGCATATGTTTAGCATACTCGATAGCAATTACGCGACATATATTTGATAGCATTTATGTAATGTGCTCGATAGCATATACATGATAGCATTACCGATAGCATTTGCGCGATATATTTCGTATACATATGATAACATATACCTGATAGCATGACTCGACAGCATAACCAGATAGCGTGTATATAACATACGCGATAGCAATTAGATAGTATTCCCGATAGCAATTACGCAACGTATATTGATGGCATTCCCCGATAACATTTATGATGTATATATCGATAGCAATTGCGTGTACATGTTTGATAGCATACCTAATAGCATTAGCCCTCACAATAACGATATATAATTGGTTGCATCGTCAGATATATATTTTTTTGCCTATGTGAGCCAACCGGCTACGACTACTAAGCTGGCATACATTACTGTTATATCACATGTGACCTGATATACAAAATGCGCCACCTTGGTACGTGTCGTAAAATGCAAAATGCACGTCACTCAAGCGTGACCTAAAATGCAAAATTCACGTCACTCGAGTGTGTCGAAAAAAGCAAAACACACGTCATTCTCGGGTGGGTTATAGTCCATACCACTTAGGTAGTTGATGATTCAACCAAGTTTGATATGGGGTACGTTCTCGGGAATGCTCGTAGACTGTCCTTTTCTCAACTCGATTTTTGATAACAAAATGTCCTTCAGAACGTTTGGTTAGAACGAAGGACTAGTCAGCAAGAGGTCCCCAAAATCTGATATGTGTGCCCCCCAAATCTTTGCCAATCATCTGATAATCGACTAATCCTTGTCACGTCGATAATAAACATGAGCGAGCAAGAAAATGGCAGTAAAGTGGGGCGAGCGTATGTTATGAACACACACGCCTTCTGTGTTTTCTTAGCTGTCTTTATTGCAGTTCTCGTTATTTCTTTCACTATAATTCTTACACTGCAAGTAGTATTATTAGGATTTATTCTGTATGTTCTACTATTCAATAAACTTTTTAGCTTTTCAAACATGGGGTCCGTGTGAATGCAGTTAGTTGATTTATGCAGGGATTGAAAGGGCTTGCATATTTTTAGTTCAGCGCGATGGAATATATCCATCATTAGTAGGATGGAACGATTTGAGCCACAACATTTCCTGGATGCCAGTTGCGCGTTTCATAACCCGAATAACGAAAAGGATTGTTTTACTAATCGTTCTTGTGTAGACCTGGCCGTGTATATCATCCACTACTAATGTAAATAGCGATTATAGTGATCATTTCTTGTAGATAATCTTATATCGCCGCACAAGTGAAAAAAGATATGATTTCCAATAATAACAAACTATCGTCTTATGAGATACAGGTTTGAGTGACGAGAACTTACTTGGCTGTAGTGATCAAGCTCACTTGGTTTTCCGCGAGATGAAGAAAAGTTTTACTGATACAGATCAAAACTGTAACGTACCATCACTAATTTCTAAGCAAGGTATCCACGGATTATGCGTTAGCGAACAAGTTTGTTGATATTATTCTCACCAGTATGCAGTGCGCCATCGAAAAGCGAGAATATTACACATGTCAGATTTTCATTGTGCTATTGCCAATATGTATGAGTTGCTGAAGAATTAAATTTCCTTTTACAATCATTGGTATTCGTCAAATTGCGTATGACATTTGATTTCGGCTCCAATTTACGTAATGGCATGCGTATATTCGCCCATCAGAAGGGAGGGCAAAAACGTGTGCAGTAATGAAAATTTTCCGGTTTCATTGTACACCCAACAGTTCCATGTATGGTATTAATAGTAGACGGGAAAATCACAAAGCCTCACATTTTCGAATTCGTTCTATGAGTTGCACTTTTTCGTTCTAAACCAACCGTTTTATTACTCTAATCTTCAACTTGGCCAAGAGGAAAAATGGTGCACGGACCTAGACCTGCAGCTCTAACACCCAGCGCTCTAAGGACAGCAGAGTTGATGGAAACAAGAACTCTTTTTCGAAAAGCTTTCGAAGAGTCTCTGGGTTGTGAGTAATTTAATTTGGAGTATTTGTTTTCCTCTCCTAGTCTCTCTTACCTCGTATATCCAAGCCTTCATTCAGCGACGATCAAATTTCGCAGGGTATAATTCAGTCAAATTGGAAGAAGGAGTCTATTTTCAGGCGCCTGATGATATTGTGGAGGAAGGTTCCTTGTACAAAAGGTTCCAGGCTATACTACTCGATATCGTGAAAGCCGAGCCTGAATTAGCGGCTGAGGTCAAGTCCGGAGCAAAGGATTTGGAGGCGTTGGAAGAACATCAAAAGGTGCGATGAGGCTTTGGAGTTTTGATTGACGAGATCTGATGTTGAATCGTGGCGATGAGGCGTTTATGTTAATATCTGACAATTTGTTTGTAGGTTAAAGAATTTCTTGGTTCGCAGGCTTCCTAGAGATGTCTATAGATATCATTGTTCGAAATGTATAATAATGTTGTGAACTATTTATTATATAATACTTTGAGTGTAAATTTACGCTCGATTTCCATTCCCCTTGTGGTGATTAGCGATATATCCTTTGGGTTAGACTTGTTGACTTAATCTACCGATAAGTGTAATCAGTTCGAGCGGATGCCCTTGGTTCAAGTGTTCTTTGGCTCAAGTCGTTAGTCGCAGTTTGTGATAGTCTCCCCAGCTTGGACTGTGATCGGTCAACGTTCAAGTAAAAAAAAAAAACAACAAAAAACGGGAATGATGTCCGTCATCAATGTAATTTGACACATATAAACTTAATGATACCAAAGATCAATCAATGGTTACCAAATTGTTGTTGTAAAAGTCTATTCATAATAATACTAAATGGCCGTATATTTCGGTTTCTTGCATCGGATAATAATTTATCCGATATTACCCAAAAAACATCTTGTAGTACTTTCTGGAACTATCTAGTCAAAACGTTCGCTGACGTTAAAGATACCATTTTAGTCGTAATTGTTCTCGAAGATTACACCCTTCGATTATATATAAGACCAGACCAAACGGACCGAAATTAAAATAAAATTCAAAAAAAACGAAACACATCGAACAAGCAAGCCAAACTAAAACCTACAACCTATAATAATATAAACAAAAATGTTCTCATACGGTTCACCAGTATACTTTTTCCCAACACATCCTTCCCGAACATACTGCAATCATTATCAACCGCGATCGTATAATCGTTGCAGTGATTCTTACTATTCTCCATTCTTCTCCATGCGTGATACGGAAGCCAGACGGGCCGAGGAAGAACGTCTATACAGACAGAAACTAGCCGAAGAACAAGCACGTGAGATGCAAAGACGTAAACCTAAAGAACGAAATGCAAATCTTGGTTCAGACAAGCCACGAGTCCGGAAGATTCCCATATCATCCTCGGATGAAGATCAAGCTCAAGCCGCCAAGATTATATTAAGATTTATAAGGAACAAGAGGTCAACTCGTCAAGTTCGTCAAATACTCCGAAAATTGCATCAATTACGTTCTATCGAAGACAAACTTGGCGAGATTCGTTCTAGTTACACGCCTGGTCCACTCACATTCACCGCCGACTCGGAAAGACGAGTATTACCAACAACAGCCGAAAACAAAGAGTTTTTAAAGAATGAGGAGAATGTAATGAAAGTCTTTGACGAACTAGACGGAATACAAAGCGCGGGTGCGGACATTGTACGACAACGAAGAAAGGAAATTGTTAAATATGCTCAGAGCATTCTCGAAACATTTGATATCAACCGCGATGAGCAGTGGATGGCGTTCAATGAAAATAAAGCAAGCAATTCTTTTGAAGAATTGACGAATGAAGAACGAGAGAACACTGATCAAGCAGCTGATATGGTATCGGCTGATGAAGATGAAGGTGAAGATAGCAAAGAATCAGCCGATGACGAGGAAATCCGTCCTTATGTGATCAAAGAGAAAGAACTCGAAAACTCGTCAAGTGACTCTGGTGATGGCTCTGTTAATGAGAATTTGGTACAAGACGTTGAAATCGAAGATGGTACCATAGAAGAGAGAATAACGCAGTCATCATCTAATGCTGATATTGAAATGATCGACAGAGATTCTGACACAGTCGAGCCTGTAGAAGAAGAAGAAGACATTGACAAACTTGTTGATGAAGAATTATCGATACCAGATGTTAATTCGGACAATGCCGATATGATTGAAGATGAATTTATACTAGTGTAAATAATATTACCTTTATTATTGTTATATTTATCCTGTATGTAATGAAAGAAATAGCGAATAGATAATAATAAATATGAAAATGAAAGAAAAGTTGTTTGTCCTGATCTGTAAGTCATGCTGCGTTACAACTGTTTACAAACGGCAGTCTTGTGGTCTAATAGATTAATGTGACATCCTTGAACCTTATTGGTTGACCTTGACATTTGATAAATTTCGTGTTTTGTAGGACAGTTTTATTACTATTTGAAAAACGACGCAGCACATGGGACGATAACATGCCAAAGTTAGAGGTTATATTAAAAATACTAGTGTATGTATGTGCATACAATGAATTACCGTATATTCATATCACCTACCAATTTAAAATTCAAAGAGTTACCAGGGTTTTCTCAGATGCCCGTTCGTGTCAATTATCGCCCGCTGATCGAATAAAGTTTACCGTTTCTATGTAGGACTAGTCTCACACCATGTACGAGACCACCAATAAGTGAAAATGTTTAGCAAACATCTGTTTGATTACACCACATGAAAAAGATTCTTCTCTCGCGAACAATTCCTATAGTGTCACTAAACTCTCTCAAATCATCTCATTAATTTCCGGCATTCGCTTTGTCCAGTTGCAGTGTACCATTCACAAAGCTAGTACCCGTAGCAGCGAAAACCGGCATACTAGTAAATATAGACAATAAAATATGCGTCATATGTGTCAAGTCATTTGTTGGAAAAAGAATACTCGCTGAATCATATGAAACCGTCCTTTCCGATGCACTGCAAAGTCGCAACACATGGATTTGAACTGCTTGAAAATCAAGGCATGGACATTGGCAAAATCGTAATAGGTAATCAAGAATTCTCTGTAATTCTCTGCAGTATTTGATACGGGCAATGCCGACCTATGACTGATTGCACCAGCCTAGCATGTCTACAGAAAAGACGATTCGATCCATCGAAATCGAGTCGGTTGGCGGTTCGTTCAAAGCCATACTACGGAGCCGGTGATCACCGTTGCTGGTGGATTGACAGATCATTAGTCTAAATACCAATGAAAGTGATTTCTTTGTCAACTCGACGTATGACGGATTCTTTGAAAAAGTAGCTGCTACGAATGGGACGACTCCTTTTAAAAATATGGTGCAGCAGGGAAAATTATTACAATTTCTCGTATTTCCTTCTTTCTCTTTGGAGGCGTTTAACATGACTGTTTTTCAATCAAGGGGCGGGAACATTCTATTGTTCTCATGCAATATACTCCAAACTTCACGTGACTGACGGAATTTTTTAATAACGACCAGTATTGTAAAGTTTGAGTTTGTATATGATACAAGTTTTAAAGACCTAGTAAGAGATCCGGAGACTATTGCACAGCAGGTATACAAAGCAGTGTGTTGTTTGATAAGGATATATGGCTTGTGGGAGACGTTTTTCTAAAGAATGTTTATGCTATTTTTAAAAAAAACTGTTACACTTGCCAAACCTATTAATTGGAAGCTTGGCGTTTGAAATTAGCCCGAATTTTCTTTTTTTGCGTGATGGACAGAACATTCTCATAGTAATATGGAAACCTGGTCATTAGTGGTATCACACGACTTTTGATGATGGCACCAGGCGTTCACCATACTCTTATTATTGCAATTATGGTAAGTGGAAATGATTTCAATTGGTAATACAGCCCGTTTCCGACTGGCCGTGGACCCTTTTGTCGTTATGTATCATCGGATTGGGTTCTGAGAATAGACTAGTTTTGATGATGACCCGGCGTAAAGAGATGAATGTAATTTCGAGTGTCGCCGTAGTGGAGGAGATTTGCAAATTGAAGGTTAAAAATAGAGGTTAATATTAATAATATTGATACCAATATGCTCAACACTTATTTCATATTGTTTGTCTCATTTATATCATCGTACCAACAACGATTTTGGATTCTATTTTATTTTGTAAATTAGTATTTTTGTAAGAGGAAGGAGATTAATTATTATGTTTGATCCCTGGTAAATTTAAAGTCAACAATTGAATGTTGATACGGTTACACTTATTTTTCGCAACGATTAAGTAATTTATTTTTATTAAATTATAAATTATTTAACACAATATATAAAAATAGTATACACAATATGTGACAAGTTTTGAATATTCACACCACCCCATTGTGTTCACCATAAATGGTTATGCAGCACAGCATTTTGCGATCGACATACCCGGAACACCACTCCGAGTCCATTCATCCACAACACCCCCCCCCCAACAAAGAATGGGGCTTTTTTTTTGTTTGCAAACATACGAGCATACAATACGAGCAGCGCAGTAAGAGAAGGGATATCACCGTTCTCGAGTCGTCCCAACAAAGAGAGAGAGGAAATTTCGTGTGCAATAATAAGAGAGAGAGGGAGGGAGATAGAGAGAATAACCTCAAACGGCTATATGAATATATGGAGGGACCAGACTGCACTCAATAACCAAAATATGCACTGAAACTTTTATTGTTGAATTATTCTACCAGCTCGTTCTTTAATAAGTCTGCGTTTGCCTGTTATGGAAGGTAATAGTCGAAATATAATGTCGATTAGTAATCAATAATACCAAAAACGAATAGATTTGCCCAACCCAGTATGCATAACACTTACGATTTCGATCTATCTTCTTTGTCATCAGTAGGGCAGATGCATCAATCGGATGGAACTCAAACTCATCCGGCTCATCGCACATGAGAATCTCGGGAAAGATTACAACCTGCGCTTGTGTGGGGGTTTGGTGAATTGTATTGTATATGACATGGGATGACGACTGGCTTGACTGTGATGATGATGACTGAGATGAATATGATGTTTTCTCTTCAGCTGAGCTCATTGTGTATGTTGTATATCTGTGTATGTTGTATGTTGTATGTGTGTGTGTGTGTGCGTAGCTTTGTCAAGAAAATAGGGTTTTTTGGTCACTGTTTATCCGTGTTGATATATCAAAGTTAAAACACCCTGATGTTTTGGTTCAATTTTTTTTTTCATCGAAAGCCTGTCTGTATATATATTGAATTTCCTAAGAATTCCATCAAGAAAATACTAATCTATTTTTAGAATCACGCATACAGTTAAACGAATTATATAACTTTATATGTATTGTGTACCCCATATAAATAAATAGAATACGATATATATTTAATTTTGCATAAAGTAATGTTCATTCGCGATTTTCATGACTCCATATTCGGAGGTTTTATATTTCGGCTAGGACGAGCCGTCTTTTATTATTGATCGAAAAGGAAGTAACTGAATGATTGCTTCATACCCGATACCATCATGTTCTCTGTCTGTCTGTTTGTTGCTCGCTCGCTCTATTGTTTGTCGTAATATGCACACATACACCGGCACCGTTTATGTTTTTTATCTATTGTTACCGCCTATACTTGTTACACTCTGCATTATCTGAGCGTCATAATCCCAACTGCTGTTTACTACGCCAGATCCTACGATTACTAAATATCATCAAGAGCGTGTCAACGCTGCTGCTGTGTCATAAGAATGATACCGTGCTATTGTCTTATTCCTTCGTGGGTGTTTTCTTTTCCCGGGACTCCAACTGTTCAAATCACACAGCTTATAAATTACAGTTGCGCAAGTTGATGCTTTCGTTAGTTAGCTATACCCGAAAAGGGTTGAACAAAAGCATAATAGATTTAACCGTATTCAGAGCACTTTAGTTGTAAACGTACGTAACAAAAAGGTCATACACTGCGGGGCTTTTCATTGAAATGGCAAGGGTTTCATAGTTCTGACAGGGAGAGAGAGAGCTGCGGAAATGTGATAGTTTATTCAACGACAAGTTTTGTCAGGTGTTAACGCCCCCCTGGTTTTTTTCTGCAAACCTTTGTTCACTAAACAAAGGCCTAAAATTTAGGAGTTATCATCATCAAGACAATCCATTGACTTGTCTTTATTGCCATAGAAATGTCTATGATCGCATAACCCCGTATAACGCCTCCCGTTGTTCAGCCCCACTATTCATTGTTTCAATCCGTTCATGTGCGCGGAATGGTCTTTATTTGGCGCTCGTCATTCATTGCGGATTCATAATTACATCAGATTCTTTTTGTCTCTTTATGGTGAGCTAGAACTCCATTTGCCAAAATAGTCAAGTAATAGAAATTTACCTTTATCAACTAATGCATGCAAATATTCAAGCAGACATTGTGCGGAAATAAAAATAACCGTCAAACATTGAAGTTGACGCAAAAGATACGTTAAACCGTTTGATTCCTTCACCACTGTTGTCAAGACACTCTCAATTAACCGCAGCCAGATGGTGCGCACGCTAGTGTAATATTCGTTTATTATTTATTTACCGATCAACCACAACCGTCACGCAGTTTCTAGTGAATATTTAACACAGACTGTCGTCACCGTTTACCGTCGCAGTTTAGTCAGTAACAATAGAAAATTCCAAGTAGAAAGTATCATTACTTGCAGCGCACGACAGCTTTCATTAGAAAAACGGTATTATTCGAATACCAAGAAAATAATTATATTGCTTCGTGACCTTGTAGTTATCGTATTCGTTCATGTTTGATTATGCAGAAATTTGATAAACCGTTCTCAAGAGCATTATTCGAGATGTATTTCCCGTTGTCTGAGATCTCTAATGTTACGTCCATGCGTATTGATTATTGCTGGTCCATTCAGAATTATGAATATCGTATTCTGTGTACATATGTTGTGTCATGTTATTTATTAATAATAGTATAATAATCATATACATACAATTTGAAAAGATATTTTGTAATCAGCGGCTTTTGGCGGTTTGTTTGGTCCCCGACGATGCATCGTAAAGTAGTAGCGCTTTTACCTGTATCTAACATTTGTGTATATCCCACATACGGCCAAGACTTTTCCTAATCGAAATGTAAATACATTTTGTGTGGCGCACAATCGACAGATTAGGTACCAGCCACGTGGCTATTGGCATCGATCCTAGTAAGCGGGTATGTTGTGCATAAAAACAACGGCCGGTGGCGGTGCTTTACATGAATAAGAACCAATAAAAAGACCATCCCATGTTTTAGAGTTGCCTCTTTGGGATTTAATACATTTGCCACTTTGTCGATCGTGTGCCACACTACCCGGTACAGCCCCGAAATTCTCACCAACCTTGGGCAAGTACTGTCAAATGAGAGATGGAAATAGGTTCCTCCCCTTCCCTCCCCCCTTCTTGGCATGTGAGAGCCCATATTAATATGAGATCATAATTCTATGGATTTAAACTAACCTGCGTTAACTTATTGCGTAGGCGTTAAGAATCCAAGTGGCTGGAATAGTTAAAAACGCAAGATAATCTTACGTCATAGCCTCCGTACGAACGTAATGCGCAGAAGATTAGCAAGCGATTTCCGCCGAGAACGTGATTAATTCTTTACCAAGTCGGGACTTATTATCATGAATGGACAGTGTTAAAGACAAAATCATTACAATTAAAGTAAACTCTGAATTCCTTTGTCGGGATCTAATACAGTAATAGCAATGTCGCTTTTTATTATGTTATTACTATTTTTGTCTTGACAATAAGAGGTTATAACTTTGCTACAACGTTCTCGGTAAATTACAAACGCCAAAACCCGCCACTGCCGCCGTTGCCACCGCCGCCTGTATCATTCAGAGCGTCTATCAGCATAGCTCTTGTTGTGTCATGAATGGAAGATTCGCTCGCATTCAGCAGCATGTCCAACGAATGTATGGATTTGCGTACTAGGTTTTCTTTAACATTTTGATAGTCACAAGTCAATTACATATTTGGCAAAGATCGTTGATTCGGATATCAATCAGCATTAGATGGATATATTTTTGCATATTAACGCGCGCAATCCTTCTAGCGTCATCCATCTTACGTTATGCTGTTCCCTATGGAAGCATCCCTGCATTGTACGAACCAAACGCTTTAGGAAAGATAAATAATGTGTTACCTAGCATAACATAGTTCGGCCCCTTTCCCCCGGTTACTTAACAGGTTTTTATACAATCACTTTTGTACATGATTGTAACTATAAAGCTACGAAACGAAAGCTTAAAGACACTGTGTTTGAAGCGTTTGTTATTATTATAAAACTTCATATTCTCAACAAACGGACGCTGTTGTGACTGGTATATACTGTCGCACCAAACCCCTATAGTGTATATGCCAGCGCCTGGTGTTCATAAATAGTTCATGCTGCATAAATAGAAGGTCAATCCGTCATTCGCTGTTGTTCGAAAAATTATGGTAATGAATGCATTGGGAAACGGTACCACGATGACAAATATGTCCGGGTAAACTTTATTCAAACCTTAGTTTCTAAAAATAGTAAAATCTTCAATAGAATCGTTTCAATGTATTTACATAATGAAACGGGTCGATCTCAAAAAACTTGCTTGTCAAAAGTCAACAAGTCTTTTTTGGTATAAATCCATTCGGTTCATGCAGTGTAAAAAAAGTTTTAATTTGCTACGTTTTTTTTGAATTTTCCTTTTAGGGGGTTTCTCGTAACTTTTTTTCCTTTATTTTTAGCAACTCGGAAACAAGAATCATGTGATTAAGTGGTCTGTTCTACAATATTACTATGACTTTGCTATTTACATCTGTTGGCTCGTCATCACATAAGACGCAAGCAAGCCCTTTCAAAGATGATCACGCATGCAACCCCCCCCAAAGTAAACAAAGTTTCCTCTTAATGTATTCGGGGGATGATAACTGTATGACATCGAATAGTATAAACTTAGTATCGATAAGCTAAAAATAGAATACACGTTAATTATGGCTAGAACTTTCCAAGACTGAAAACGAGTTAAAGTACTACTGTTTATCAAATATTGCGACAAACTCTTGTAAATTTGTATAACTCTTGGCTTGGAGTTTTGTTAATAAAAGTGGTAAATCTGTTTAAACAATGAACTTTATTATAAATATATTAATTATTAAAAATTATGATAGGTAAGCAGATATTTTTCCTGGTATTCTCGACCCTGTAGCACTGTTGCACATATTCAACCGTCAAGTTTTTCTCTCACAAGGATTTTACAAAGCAAAGTATTTCAGATAGGCTATTACAACAAATGACGCGCCAGGTATTCTATCGTATGTCGCAATCTCTGAATCATGTTATTAATCATGATATTAATTCTCACATGGTGTATGCGATTTGCCGAAAAAACTTTACAAAAAGTGGTCAAGCTTTTGATAAATTTCGATTTATTTATTTATGCGTATAAAAGGACACTCTAGAGATGAGAAATTTATTCTACACTATCCACCCCATGGCTTTGTATCTCTCACATAACTTTCAAGTTGTTGCTAACGTTGATGGCTACTAGTTGTTAGAAGCTTTCTTAATTCTCTAGATGAGATAGATTATGTTAACATTGAATTGTGTTTTGAAATTTCGAATCTTATAACAGCTTCTATTTGAGTGTTTACTTAAATTCTATTGAAAACTGACATGATTAATGTTGGCAGTTGGGTCAATGAGTATATTCAACATTGTAATAAAATAAATGTTCTTAGAGAACTGATTGTACACGAGTCTAATTGAAGGTGTTACTATTTTGAGGGAGTGCTATGTTTAGTGGTCTATGTAGTTAGTTTAGTAAATTCTCGAATATTTGACTATTCGAAATTGTTTGATAAAAATAGACCCACACCGGGCAACCTAATTCGGTAATTGACGTGTAGTATGAATCACTGTATATAGTCATAGTTTGTCTGTAGTGTAGATATTTTTAAATCAATAATCACTGCCAATTATAAGCATTATTGACATAGTACGCGCTTCGACATTGTGCCCAGCAATCAATTCATTATGTTTAATAAATTAAAAGTTGTTGTGGAATATTTTGCTGCTTCTCTTCCATAAATTTACAAGTGGCTCTCGAATGTAAAAGTGATCACGCCCAACAAAATCTCTTTTATCGAGAGTCACTCATTATATAACTGTCCTTATTCTATGGGAATAAACCTTTATCATAGCGAAACTTCATTTACACTATTCTTGTTGCATATGTCTATAGACTTTTCCATTTAATGCTGCTATTTACCCACGTATTTCCGCTTAGTGGTACAAAAGTTGGACACATCGGCTTGGCGTAATTTCATGCTATACGGCAGGAAAATAAGCCAAATCGGGACAAAATTCGTGATTAAATGAATTCCTCGTTTTATCGAAAATTCATGCCAGTCGATTAGTTTAGTAAAACGATAGATAGTTATGTAAGCAGTCGTAGTTTCGTTAACAAACAGCATGTTCATCCTTTATTTCGATAAAATCCGTGTTTTAATTGCAAATTTATTTTATTGGAATCTTTGACATCAGGATTATTATTTAATTCTTACAAACGTGTTTATTACTATGCCGTTCCGTGTCACACATAACACAATTATTAATAAATTGTGAGAAATAAACAGTACTTCTATCTGCTACAAATATTGTACAGCATCTATTACAAAAGAATTGACAGGCAAACACAATTATTAAGCAAACGTCGAATTTGCAGAGAATTTGGAACCTTTCGCACATATTGGTATTGCAGAGGAGATGTGAATGCCCCCTCTGATCGGCTTTTGAAGTTCTCAGCCAGAGCAGAGACATGTCTCTGTGAAGCAAATCAAAAAGTTTAATATGGCATTGGTCAAATCTTCAAAGACTGAAAATAAAAATAAAATATGCATAAAATACCCCAACATCTACACCCACAAATGAGAGGAGGACTCATTTAGTGAGTAGCATGCTTGGCTGATCTATGACCAGTTTTGAAAGGGATAATGAAATACACGGTGGCTCTCTTTATAGTGGAGACACAAAATCCAACAGGTTTCTACACTACAACGAAAAAAGAAATCTCACCATATAATAAATAAAGACCTCGAAACCTCACCATATAATAATATATCATGTGACATACACTATAGCGAAAAACAAAAAGGCAAATGAACCGCAATATTATGCTAGACTGACAGCTTGCTCACTAATTCCAAAGTCTTCCGCTAGTTCTCGGCCTGTTATTGAAAGTTTCTTTTTCACATAAAATAATTATCTTTTATTATCGTTGTTAACAAACAATCTCACACATTGTCTAAAATAATAGAAAACTCTCGCATTATCGTAGTTCTCTTAGTTCTTTATAACAAGCAATAAAGGTTCAATTACATACTTTGCCCAATCAAGGCAATATGCTTTTTGAATGTTTCGTGGCCACTTCTATCCATAGACTGTGAGAGATTCATATCAACTGTCTGTTCCTCCATAACAAAGAAGAAAAACTTTCTTCGCTCTAATCTGACTTCATCACCTCGAACGAAACTACACAATATAGCGATTTCGTGCTACATACACTATATAGAGGCGCTCTAGACTATAATCAATCAAGCATATTTCCTCCACTAACCGATAGCTGCATAGTTTCTGTATAAATACACTATATAGAGCCAGTTTAATAGGAGGAAAAAAAGTTTCCAACATTATTTCTCCACAATAACTGAAATCCACTGTAGCGGAGGTCCACTATAAAGAGAGCCACTGTGTATTTTGTAATCGTTGTCGTAAAGATCGAGTTACTTAATGATATCAGCAGTCAAAAATGGCCATGATCTACACATGCCATCATGCCTTAGATCCATAACATATGTTTGTTCTGAAACCGATCCCAGAAGCTCGTCTGCTCGGATTTATCGCCCGCCGCATTCAAGACCTGCTCTTCTGAAGTGTGAGAAACAGATGTGTTCCGTACGGCAGCATTTGATGTCATGGAATTGGCTGCTAAATGTCTTGTAGTATTTTCTTGCATATTCTGAACAGCACGATCAGATCCGACGGTAGAGTTTAATTGCTGGTTGGCGTTCCGTCTCCCAGTGAATAAGATCACTTCGCCCGTATCGTCATCGTTGCTAAGGTTGGTCGAGCTGTTTGGAGAAGCCGAATGAAACTCGGTCAAATCAGAGTCACTATTTACCGAGGAACCTTCGTCGACAATGTTGGAAATAGTGGATTCATCATCCATGGGCGAAAGCGGTTTCTTGAAAGTGAACAAACCGTTAACGTTATATAGTTCGAATGCCTGGTAATGCCAATCGTAAAGTTAATACCATGGACAGTTAAAAGAAACTCTGCAAAAATACATGTTAAGCAACATCCGCACCTTTGAAGCCACAATCTTATGCGCGCCCTCGACAATATCATAGATGCGCATATCTATCTCTTCAAATGGCTCAGATTCACTAACAAACAACTTCAGATCAAAGCCAATTTCATTCTTTAAAGCCAAGAAGCCGTTCAGTTCAAAATCTTCTCTTAATGGAACTTCAAGTGGAATGCCGTTTGCATGAGGGAACAACCTCTCCATAGTATTTAAAAATCTGGCGACATTCTCCCAGAACTTGTTAACTTCCTTGTGCTCCTCTTTTATGTTTGAATCTTCTGCAATAGCCGATGACATTGAAGCGATATAAGCGAAATTCGCATGGATCCACTTGATACCAATGCGTATAGACGGAAGAACTCTTTTGACTGGGGCTGTTAATAATTGCAGCGCATTGTTAGGGGTTTCCGTGCTGCTATTTACGTCACGTAATTCCGATTCGCAGACATCCAATAGAAGTTTAAAAGTGTCTATGACTAAGAGAAAGGCGTATTTTTCGACGAGCACTTTCTTTGATGCATGACCATACATATTCTTGGCTTCTGAATTCAGTCCGTGTCCGTTGTCTAATGTGGAAATCATTGTGCATACTGTAAATATAACGTACAAGTACCAAAATATGTGTATCGCGATGTGCTTACCATTGATAATATGTCTCAACACAAACAGAGCCGAAATGTTTATTACATTTACTTTCAACAGTTGATCAGCGTCAAGAACTCGTGTAATGATATACTCTTGCAGTTGACTCAAGACGGAATTTTTCAGATCAACATATAATTCCAGACTACACAAGATGGACAGACAAATAAGGTTATATACGTCTGTGCAATATTAAAAGTTGTGCACAATATTTCGATTGAAATATAAACTTACTCAGACTTCAAGAATAAAATACTGTGCAAATGAATAAACTCTGCATAGAACTCTTCGACTGCCTTTCCGATTTTTTGTTTGTTCACGGCTCCATTGCCTTGACGCATTCGAGAAAAACGTCGTTGTCTACTACCCTCCGTCTTTTCTTCCGCCGAGTTGAAACTGTTTCTTGTTTTTTGGAATAAAAGGTTGATGTTGTCTTTTGCAGTCAAGAATGGATGTCGGACTACAAGGCTTCGATAGTAATGATAAACAGCGGAAAAGTCATCGTTGTTGTATGTCGCGAGGACAGCTAGTTGATTATGAGGATTACCTGATAGACGTAATTACAGATTAGGTTGTTGCTGATACATCGCGTTAAATGTGCAGGCATTACAGTATAATAAAAAGTCGCTTACCACTCTCAGGGACCAATTGGCGGGCCTGATTATAATAATCCGAAGCTGTAGACCAATTCTTACGTGGTTTGTTCAATTGCTTCTCGCGATATCGAGCTAAGATGGAGACCAATTAACATGTATTCAAACATCCGATATCTGCTAGATTCGATTGAATTCCACATACCTAAATCACCGAGAAAAATTAAGCTCTTATGACAACTTAGAACGGCCCTTTGCTTGATATTATCAGGATATGAATGGCGAGAATTTCTGGTGTCTGTTGGAAAGTTGTTTCGATAAAAAAACATTAGAAACACGCAAACGTACAGACGTTGAACGATTAATTAAACCCATTAACGTTCTTTACCATTTGTCAGTCCAAACTTCTTAACAATAGGATCCAATTGCTCTAACTCGAAATGTACTGCAAGTTTTTGGATGAACGAATAATAAAAGCCAGTGGCTTCATGCAAGAATGATCTAAACGAGCTATTCAACTTTCTTGCGGTGGCCGGTCTGCCCTTTCCGTTAGGAGAGGCCTGCAGAATAGCAGGAATATTCATATAAGTATTATTGTGTAAATTCAGAGATGTATACATTGAAATTGAGGTACATATTCCGATGATGGTTAAATTATTACACTGCAAACTTGTGACATAAAGTAACATCATTGCTCCTGTGAATTTATTGCAGTACTCTGTCTGTCAAAAAGTGTTGTAACTTACATTGCGAATTCGCTTGCGGTAATCTTCAATAACCTTGTAAAACACATATTTCCATAGATTTTGTTCAACGTCTTTCGACTGGGCGTATTCATAATCGAGGAATATAATCCTTTCGTATGTTTCTCGCAATCTATGTCATCAGAATGTGAGTTAAAACATGGAAAGACATCCACACAGACAAATTTGCAAGGGACAAAAAAAACGCAGTAAGATGATTTGGCAAAGAGTGAAACAATGACTAAGAAGGTTTCCATATGTCGTTAAGCACGAATATTACTAGTGTTGCTTTAAAGATAAGACGAAACATAAAGGGAAACGGAGAGTTCCGTTATTGCTCGATAGTGATATATAACTGCTCGCGAGACTATTACTTATGTACATACTTTGAACGAAGAGCGCACACTTCTCTATCATAAGAGGGTTTTTGCTTTAACAGCAGGCGCATATCACTCTCTAATTCTACGGTGGATCTGAAGGATAAATATAAGAGCGGATATCAGCACGATCATACATGCAATAAAGGAATATAAAGTGTATAACGTCAAAACTGCTTCGTGTATACAGGCCCCAACATACTTGAACAAGTCCACCGCAATATGATGATCGTAAGCCGGCATTGTTATTGTAATGTTTCCAAGAATCCAAAGTACGCAATTAGACAAGTTCTCCACTCAGATAACCAGCGAGTGCAAAAATATTTTGAGAATTTTTTCGACTTGTATTTTCGGAGAACGGGAAATCTGAAAAGACTTGAAGAAAGGGTCAAAACTTGCTATAAAACATAGCGCTTTTATAGCTTCCACACAACTGAGATCTGCGCGAGGTAAAAAGGCAGAGTTTATATTTCGTTGGAATAAAAAAAGTAATAATATCTATTGTTTTTAGCCCAATATACTGGAAGTAACAACTTTGGAACAAGAACTGAAGACATGAGTGTTACAATATATTACGCATACTGATATACTGCGGCAAGTTAAACTAACGCCACTGGATGAATGTAAATTTCAGGGCTGAGACAAACTTTTCTTTGCCCCATAATTTTGATTTCAGATAGAACTTTAATAAGAAGTAAACTCTAAAAAGAAATTGAATAATATCCATTAAAGTAAAAGTGCTAACAAAAAGACTTTAGCCTGAGCGGCTGTCCATTCCAAGTGGAAAAGATCCGTTAATTGTTTCGGAAAAAGGAACAAAGCAAACTCGACACTACCATACATCATTAAATTTCATGCCCGAATTAAAACTTGTTAATGTTATTTATTAAACAGAGTTGCGTTCACGAGTGATCTTTACTTCGAAGCCAGAGTCCATGAAGCATTAATTAATTAACCTATTCCGTATTTATTCGCTTATTTGTTTGTTTACTTATTTATCTGCTTGTTTATTTATTGTTATTTATTTGCTTGGTTTATCAACAGTAAACATTCCCATCTCCTAATTCTTGCCTTCATGATGATAGATCGTGTTTTCAGAGCTTGACTCGCAGTGTATGTTTTACACGTATCAACTCCAACCTTTTATTCTGGTCATAACAAAACCCTGCACTTTTTAATTTCATCTTGTGTTACATTATTAATATTACTGTATTAGTATTAATGGAAGAATCATAAGGATTGAAAGGAAAAACTAGAAAATCTTTGCTTGCAACACAAGTTAAAGCTTTTGTTTGGTTGTCGTACCAAGTCTTACAAGAATACTTTTATCATTATCATTGCATAGAACGTGTTCCAAGACATAATCGAGAAGAAGGCATGTGAAACTACTAATGCGCTTGGCCAATCTATCAACTTGTGAATTATGACAGATTGCACGCGATACATTAACCATCTAATCTTCTTCAAAATAGTTCATGTACAAGCCAGCGCTCTTCACTTTGCCAACTCTAAATCTCAATTGGGCAAGTGACAATATCTTTGGTATGCATTTGAGGTTAGTCCCGTCTTTTGTCTTTCAAGCAACAACCATTGAAAAGCAAATTATTTACTATTTACAGTAATAGTCGAATTTTCGATCGGATCAAAAATGACGGAAGAAGAATTTGACAGTAATCTGTGCACGTGAATAATAATTAATGTTCAGAGATTTACTATTACTGACAGTTGAACTGCGTCTATACCATCAATTGACTTCCTTAGACTTAGTTCAACGTAACTAGTATTGTTCCACGTTACTCAAACTAACGGTCAGCCTAGCGACTCTGGACCAGCTTCTGTAGAATTATGTAAATCTCTACGGATTTGATAAATAACATGACTGCTATCAGTGAAACGCGACAGCAATATGGCGATACATCAGCTTTGACAAAAAAGCGTCAAATTCAGGAGTGGTAAGCGAACGTTGTTGATAACGACGATGGTAGCCCGCAGCCTACAAATAGAATAGTGAATAATAAGTAATACTTATTGAATCATCACGTTAATACATTCAGACTATACTGTATAACTTTTATTTTACACGATTAAATCCGATGTCAACATGAATGATGCAAAATTTGTTTAGGATTGGATATTAACCTTCCATCGATCTCTATATTAATATTATTGCTTCGATTAATCCTAATGGTTGTCTTCGTCAAAATACAGCATTGCAAATAATACTTTCACTCAGAAAAGAGACAGCTTGGTAATGTGTGATCTACGACCGTGAGATATCAACTTGCTTTTGGCTATTATATATTATACGTTATTATTATGGAAAATCACCTTTCATCAAATACATTTATACAACTTTATTGCCAAGCTACAAAACAGGCCTGCTAAGCTAGTTTTAACTTATCTAAAAGACAGAGATGCAATAAAGAAGTGGCCGGCAGGGAGGCCTACATATTAATATATGAAGACTAATTTATAAGATTTAATTGGAAAATATGAGGGAGGTAATATATGATGGAGAGGGTCAATGGGAGGGGAGTTGTATTTAATGAGAGTAGAAAGTAGAGATGATAGTGATTCATTTGTTGTTGGAAGAGGTTTATGGGAGAAAATCTATCCAGATAGTCCAAAGAGAGGCAGACATAAGAAGTCGAGCTGTTAAGTGGAATTATTTGAGTGAAGATGAGTGAATGAATTTTCATCAAATGCATTTTTATTTCCAAGCTACAATATCCTGCTAACAGGCTGGTTTTAACAGAGGCGAAACAAAGAAGTGCCATACATGAAAGAATTTGTAGTTATTTGAGAGGGAGGCAAGTGTCTATGAAAATTTTTGTAAAACACATGAGAAATCTATTTTTTAAAAAAAAAAAAATCTCTATTGGCTGTATCTACCAGCAAACGACAAAAAATTTTGTATTTATATGAAGCCAATTGATTGCAGTTTTCAGGCAAGCTTTCGTAATGAATAGTATACAAATGAAACATAAGATTATATATACGTGTAACATATATACTACCATTTCGGCGAATCATTAGCTTTATTTCTCTTATGTTTTACATTTTTTGCAGGTGATCGTATCCGCATTTTGTAAGAAAACGCACTTTCACTTTGTATTGACCGTATTCCGAACAATATAAATAAATATTTATATCTTCTATTGAAAAGAACAACGCCCGCATCATGCCGAGCACGATTCGACAGTACACGTCTCTCACTTTGGCATGCATTTATTAGTATCTGGCTATAACCCCGTTTGTTTACCAGAACATGTTGGTATGTTAGTCTACGCGTTTTTGTTATCATAATAATTCGTCCTTTATCTATTATTACTAGTCACATGATATACAAAGCGTGAGAAGCGAACTAAACTCGAAAAATTTTACTCACACCTCTGTGAGCGTCATCGAACTCCATAATCGTCATCATAGCGTCATAGCAAAAATGCTTAAATAACGTAGCCATCGCATAATCACCAGGCATTACTGTTGAAAAATATCCCCCTCCAGCATAAATCTTTTTTCTTTCACAGAGTAAATTTCAATTACTTGATCAATAATGGCGTCGGGACCTGTAGGCGGACCAAGAATACGTTCGATATGGCGCTTCCTTGCTGTTGATCCAGAAATATATCCACTCCTGGGCGTCCTAACGGTAACCTTTGGTGCGGCAGGATATATGCTAGGGAAGAAAGGCGCTGCCATCAGAAATGAAGACCCGGAACGAATCATTCCTGAGAGACCACTTCCATTCCGCGTTGATGCGAAGAGCAAACTACCGGGTCTTGCTTCCGGTAGCAATTACAGATATAATTATCATCCTTCTAAGGAGGATAATGCTGTGGCAGTACCTGTACCAGATGCAGTGACTGAACATAAAGTGAAAGTCAAAGTTCCAGAAGAAGTAGCAGAGAAAGTTTCTGCGGCAGCGAAAAAGTGACAGTTAAAAGAAGTCGGCGGCTTCATATAAGGACTGGGGGCTGCATATAAGGACTGGGGGCTGACATCTATCGATACAACGTAAATATTCCGCTCTCGAGTGGATAGTGATAAGGAATGTGCTAATACAGAGACTATGCAGTAGGTTAACACACCAATGCCATCAAAGCGAACAGATTGTCTGTACTAAGGGTTTACGATACATAAATACATCACTCACACATGTAGATGAATAACATATTTATCGTCCCATAGTTCTGTTGATCGAATCTGAAGATTTACCCGTTGCTGATGTATAATAAAAACCGTACTGTGTTTTACGGGTTTAAGAACTACGCCTGTATGCTCAGGCTATAATAATGCCTGTTATTCATATTTTATTTGAACCTTTTAAAATTGCTCGACAATTGCTAGAGTTTCGGTATACTGTCCATTAAAAAGGTTGATTGTGTGAGAATCAGTGGTGCGCTAGCGAGTGACTTTCCTGTTATGGAAAGAGTCGTTTATCAATCTATTACTATTCACAATATATGGCCTTTTTTGTACTGGAAATGAAATACGTTTATAGAACCATTTTCTGATGTTTTGACAAAAGATTATCTTTCACAATGTGCCATGCCAGTATTACAAAAATAGTTAGTCTGAACCAATAGTTTAGGGAACAAAGAAAAAAACGTATTCTTTCATCATGCTGGCGTTAAGTTCCCGCATTTAGCTATGCAATTCTGCGTTTCTCGAATAATATTTACGCAATGCAACATGTGATACATTGATATAAATTAAGTGGGAGTCGTTCGCTCGCAAGAAGACAAACTACCTATAAACATTATTGTTATTTATATACAAACGTCATATCCCACGTACCCCATTCCGCAATTAGTCAAGATGATTACTACCCCACTATCCCGGAAAATGAGATGGATACTGTCATTTACTGCTGTGATATTAATCGGTCTTGTTAGTGGCACGCAGTATTTGTTTTCTGCATATGGTCCTGCGCTGGCCGATAGGCTGAATTTATCATCAACGCAGACCAATGTAATCGCTTCTGCTGGTAATTATGGGCTGTTTCTATCAAGCCCTTTCAACGGGTATGTGCGGAATGGTGATTGAAAGCTGTGATGACTTATTTATATTAACGTATCTTCGTACCCCCTCGACTGTTATCACGTAAAGCTACTTGGCTGACAACTATGGTCCTCGAAGGTGTGAAAAATTTATTAAAAGTTGCACCAGGGTTATAATTGAGGAAGAAATTATATTGATTGCATTATTCTACTAATTTTAGGGTTTGTCTGGCCGGATCGGTATTAATATCCGCAAGTTTCTTGGGTCTTGCACTGACGTACAATGGAGTATTGCCTTCATCATTCTTGTTATGTGCTGTATATTTAATGCTGACAGGAATTGCATCCTCAGCAGGTAAGCAAGGATGCGTTCTGTGTCAACCACTGATAAAAATTGCAAACTGATAGAGTGATTTCGCTATAACAGGTTTTATGTCTGCGTTCACAACATCTGTAAGTGTATCAATCTTTTATTGGCTTGGTGGATTATACATACAAATAGACAGCAATCGATCTACTATGTGGATATATATACGACGGATCTACGTAACTACGCGTCCCCCCCCTTCATCTAGTACTAAATCAAAGTAAACTAACAATTCAGATCCAAGAATTAATCCGATACTTACTTTCTATCCACCCATTGAATAGGCTAAAAACTTTCCAAACTTACGGGGCGTCGGTCTCAGCATTCCACTTGCGTGTTTTGCCCTATCGGCAAGTATTTTTTCCTTAGTCAATTCACTCTTCTTTAAAGACGATACCTATCGCTTCCTTGTGTTCATCGCCATATCGACTGGTCTATGTCAATTCATTGGAGCATATCTATTGGATCCTATTTCTCTTGAATCGATAACAGACAGTGATTCGCGTGATGATTTGAATGAGACAACACAACGATCATCGGATGCATCTGTCGAAGCGGAAACTAGTGGGCATGGAGAGAACAGGCAACTAGTACAGAATGAGGAGACTCCGTCTTTGAGACGTCTTTCTGGTGTGCAGAGTTTGGAAATTAACACTGACTCTCAGTTGGAACAGAATGAGGAGACTCCATTATTGAAACGTCTTCCTACTGAGCCTGATATTAGCGGACGGCGATTGTTATTAAATGGTGACGCTCAGTTGCTATTTTTGGCTATTTTCTTTCTTGGTGGGGCTGGATTAATGTATATCAACAACGTGGGCACTATAGTCAAATTACTTTACGTTTCGTCATCCGGAAATAGTCCCAACCCGTCACATGAACTTCAACACATTCAGAATCTTCATGTCTTTTTAATATCAATTTTTTCATGCATCGGTCGCCTGTCCACTGGAATCTCATCGGACATAACAAAATCAAGGTACAATGTCTGCAGACTATGGTTTATTATAAATGCAGGTGTCTTTCTGTTTCTTGGGCAGATAATGGCTGGGTTTATTATGACGAGATTAAAGACACTCTGGATGGCAACAATTTGTATTGGGTTTGGGTATGGATGTGTATTTGGTGCTGCTCCCGCTATTACAAGCGAGTGGTTTGGGTTAAAGCAGTTTGGATTCAACTGGGGAATAATGACCTGTGTAAGTACTGCAAAAGTGAGAGTGTTTCGTGAACATGGAGAGTGGGTTATTCTTTTCACGCAATCGTTGCCATGCTCTCTTTCTAATTCATTCATACTTCTCGTATTTTTTTTCCCCTGCATAGGCTTTTGCTATTGGTAGTCAGGTGTTTGGTTTGTTATTTGGCTTCATTTATGATCACATGCAGGGCAAGTGCTCTCACGCTTCTTGTTATACTCTCGCCTTTTGCATAACTGCAATAGGATGTGCGACATCAATATTCGTCTCCTCTGGTCTATTGCGGCGGGTCATAAAGAAGGATAGACGTCGTTTGTTGCAAGATGAATGAGTGCACTATGTATTCATATGCTTTCGTGTAAATATACGATGAGTAGTATGAAAGTATGACTATAAATTGTTTCCCGTATTAGTATTATAATTACTCGGGTTGAGGAATAGTCATAATATGTTCAATAGACTTGATGTGTATCTTTGGGGCATGCAAACAAGATCATGAATAAACATTGGGTCTTTCAACAGAGATAATAGCCCTAAGCACACAAAGTGACCATTTGACTATGTCAGCTAAAAGTGGCTGATGTGACTGATGTCATTTTGGGAATGCTTGCATGACTGTGGCTCAGACACAAATTTATAGATGATCTTATACAAAAATATAAATTTACCATGGAACCAAAGAATTGCAGGAAGTATTTTAAAGAAAGCTCAAGGAGAAAAAATTGCCCCTTATGTTTTTAAAATCAATGTCTCCAGGAATATCTAGATAAAGAAAAAATCAGTTATGACATTTATCAAGAAGAACGAAAAATAAAAACCAATAAACGAACATTACCACCAACTTATGATGAACCAAGAAAGAAACGAAAAATAGAAGAGACTTAAGGAAACTAATTTTAACGTAAACGCTTCCCACCAAGGCCTCCACTGACCGAGCGACCTATCAACGAAAGATTGTTTCTTATAGTTTTCAACTTGTTGATAAAAGACTGTTGAGCGCATTCATTGAGTCTTGATTCGCGTTTCACTATGATGCAATCGTAACCAAAGAGTCGAATAACGTAACAATAATTCGAAGATAAAAATTTCTTATTGTAGATGCGGCAATGGCCTTTTGCTTATCGAGCAACTTGTAAATTTCAAACGCCATTTTGTTAAATGAAAATTTTGGAGCCGAATTCGGTTCTTCTGTTGTATAATCGTTTTCGTCGATTGAATTAGGGCTCCCGTATTATGCCATTTAGCAACCGGCCGAGAACGAAGCCAATAAATACTCCAACAAAGAATTCGCTTGTAAATTTAGTGTTATTATTATTGGTGAAAATTGACAATACAACATCCACTGTTACTGTCACATTCTGCATAAAGGTCTAGAAAGTTCCCATATACTAATACGTTATTGATTAAGCGATCCACGTCGCAACCGCAGCTACAAACACTTCACTTCCAGACATGGACGCCGCAAGCGAGTTGGTTCGAGCTAACAAGAAACTGGACAGGTTAGAGGTGCTGAGAGATGGTGCAGAGGAAAGGTATACAGGGGAGAGAGAGAAACTGGAGCAACAGGAGAGTTCCTTAGAGGAAAGAAAGACGTCTCTTGTTGCATTGCTTGCAGCAAGCACTCAGACAGGTAACGACTTTGTGACTCGGGCGTTGGGGACATAGAGTAGTGTGTACATAGGTAGAGTAGACATGGCAATGCTATTGCAAGACAAGACGTGGGGACTCGGGCGTTGGGGACATAGAGTAGACATTATATATTTACTCATCCCATCACACTTGCTACAACCTGATTTCTTAACTTCCTACTGTCCTCTTTTTTTTATTCCCCTCCATCCCTCATTTATTTCCATTAGCTCCTATTGAAAGTATGTTAATGTCCCTCAAAAGAAATATTGAGGAGGTTAACCAAGATGTGAAGAGGCTCAAGGTCCAACCTTCTGGTGCCTTGCTTGCATTTTTTGGTATGTTTGACTTTTTTTAGTATATTGATTCTATTGCTGGGTTATAAGCCTCATGATGCAATTTTATAGGCACATTGACTAAAAGAGAAAAGGGTGAAGCTGTGATCCAAAAGATGAAATTTCCATTCCAATTATAATTAACAAATGTAACTTTGCCAAATGCTGTGATATAGAATGTTTTTGAAACCCACCCACAGATAGTAAAGAGGAACATTACCAAGAATACTTTATTAATGCTTGTTCAAAGCTCCCCAATAATAATAAGTGAGTTTCTGTGGAAGACCCACAAATTTCCAGTGTTATTGACAAGAAAACCTGGCTGTGTGATGTCGAGCCAATACTCGGGGGAGAGCGGGACGAATATTGACCTTGGGATTTAGTCTTTTTCCAACGAGGTCCTTGATTACCTCTACTTCGATAAATCCGCTAATGACAATTGGTGACCTTTAAGTTGGGTTTATACGCTCACGATGCGGGGTTCGAATCTTGCGTACGCCTTCTCTGGATT